TAACTACTTCCTAATGAATTACAGAAGTATTTCTTATCATCCATTACGGAAAAACATCTGATCATGTTTACCTCTTTAAATGTCCGGAAACATAAACCTACTTAGGCGATTCTGTAGATTCAGCATAAAAATTCTTAAACTTTCCCAACTAAATTAGTCTTATGCAATGCTTTATCTGCGCAAGTAGAACTATTTAATAAAATATTTTTCTTATCACACGACAAACACTGATTCAATAGGGTCGAAAAGTTTGTTTTATGGCCTCGTAATATTTTTGGATCAAGCTCTTTATAGTTTCTTGGTTCTCTTTTACGCTTAAGGCATAAGTTCACCAATTAGTGAAATAAGGAGTCTTTGGAACATGCTTGAGTCTGAAAATTCTTAGTCATAGATGTTTAAATCCTAACAATTTTTGTTTTGGAAAAGAAGATTCTCTAAATTCCCACCTTAGTAAGTGTTTAATTAGGTCAAACGTATTTTAAAGATACATATATAATGTTTTAAAAACTATTTCTATGCAAATAAATGCTTTTATAAATGTGTTTAATCCAGAACTTTACGAAATAAGTATATTTCTCATGAAGCTCACTATATAATAGGCTTTCATAAATTAAATAATACATATTTCAACAACATCGTGTTTGTCATATTGGAAAACGTCTAACACTAACATCAATATGCCAAGATAGATATAAAGTTTGACTATATGAGAAACCTGAAACTAACACAGCCTTAATTACATAATTTTCCAGAAGCTGATATAAAGAGTTCTGTTGTGAATAATTCTTAACAGTATTTTATGAACAAAGTTTTTCATTCTTTATTTCACGATATTCCATCAGGTTAACCTAGCATCATCAGGTGACTTACCTTAAATGATTAGAACAGAAAATTACCTTGTTAGCTGAAATGTGGTCTTAGAAGCCAAATCCACACACAGTGAAATGCCTATGGAAGGTTTCTTCAAAAATGAGGAGAGGTTTAATATTATGGTTTTGGGTAATAGTGCATGATCCTGGCTGTCATACTGAAAACAATAGACGATGCAGGAAGTGGAATCAAGGCAGTTCTTATAAAGCGCGATAAAACCCCCCATATACTAAGATATCGTGTTCAAAATGTTAGTGTAAACATTCATTCTTCTGTTAACAGCTCGAAACAGAACCGAAATGATTACAATCTGAACCCTGATCACAGAGCGATTAATTTTTAAATGAAAATAATTACAGTCCATTGAAAGTCATTTGAACATTTATGAACCAAAATTTTCGTTTAGACTTACCGATTTATTACTTGTCTTTGTTGGATTATTAAAACCCGCTTGTGATCCTCAGCATTGTTTCTTCCTCCAACTGATCCGGTTATCTGAAAATCTCTGACACAGTGGTCAATCGTGCAAGAAGTAAAATAAGTTGAATAAGTTATATTAAAACAAATTTGGAGCCTACCACGTCGTTACAATGACGTCGCCACGTCCGGTCATGCTGTATTCTGAGGAGTGTGCTACTTGAGAATGGTCTTGCTACGTAGTTTCCATTGCAAATGATTCCGTAATACGGCTGTCATGTCGAAAGCACACCATTCCTCAATGAAGGCTTTCCAAGGATCCAAAACATTGGTTTCATACTAAACATAGTTCACCTTCATCTTTGTATCCATTCTCCTGATCTTTAACTAGCCCCTGGCTCAGTTTCCAGTGATGATCATAAATCCATTCGAAAAAGTTATGATCGATAGAAATTTGCTCGAGATTACTTACAGTTATCGAGGTACACATAAGTTTCATTGAATGTCATCACGTAACCCTATTTTCCCCCGGCTAGATACCGCTTACAGATTTCTACATTTGGTCTTTTCTCCCTTCTGCGGACTTACAATGCTAGAAACCGGGTTTCAATACCCATGGTGGACAGAGCACAGATAGCTCATTGTGTAGCTTTGTGCTTAATTAGAAACAGCAACCAACTTTCCTCCCTAGGTATGTTGTGGAAGCAACTTGTGTACACGTGACTTTTCCAAATAGAAATTATGTTTAATTATTTTGTTCCCCGTTGCCTGGAGCATTTGCCACTGACCTATGTGTTAAAGGATCCCCACCTTTTAAAAGACAACGCGCGTTGCTTACCACGGCTGGGGTACGAATTGTTGCGAAAATGTTGGTTCATAAATGTACAAATAACTTTCAATGGACTGTACTTGCTTTGATTAAAGACCATCCGCTCTGTGATCAGGGTTCAAATTGGTATCTATGTTTTGTTTTTGTATACCATTAATTATAAGTAATACCTCCGTCTAATTCCCCCATCTGAACACATCTTTATGATCTTAGTGTAAGAATATTTTGAGTCAAAAAGCGTTATTACATGCCCTACCAAAAGTGATCTCTTTTCTGTAGCATCACATTTCCAACATAACGCAAAACAATGTCAAAATGTTGTTCTGATACATGCTGTTCGACCGTGACTTTTAACGGCTGTGACTGTCACATGACTTTCTGATTTGAAATATTTAAAATATTATCATAACGCATTCAACCCTCTGTATTCCTTCGTAAAGTATATCCACATATCACAGTGAAAAAATTTCCACGTAGCACACAAGGAGTTTATCTACGAATTATGCACGAAATATTTCTATGTTACCCCTAATATCATATTCAAAGCCTTCCAATTATGCTTTTTTTTGACACTTTGAAGGTGTTTCTATATAAATTACCTTCATGCGTCCTTCAAATAGTGTTTCTACATACGTAATATCCTGAGAGGTTTTAAGAAGCTTGTGTAAAGTGTATCCATGTATTGTTTTTGAATGTTTTAAAACCAGATGTAGTTACATTTAATGCATGTAATATTTTTACCGTACAGAAAAATATATAATTAAGTAGTTTTTAATGAGCATTGCTGTGTAACTTATTGGGGGCGCTTCCATCTGAAACATTAAAATGACCTGCATGCAGCACTCTGCATATTACTTTTGTGCATAAACTAGAAAGTATTATTTGTAGCCTTTTAATAATTATTTAGTTAACTGAGATTGGATAGATGTAATACACGAAAAGAAATTCCAAATGGTAGATCGTATATATATATATATTTATCTGTAATAAGATGGAAATCCCTTAAACGACTTGCATGTAACCCCTTGAAAGTGAATTACCACAAGCACGTGCATATGACCTTCTGAATCTCCTTAGTGGGGAATGTAACAACTACTTCCATGTGACTCATAGAAAATACTTCTATATGTAATACCATAAATACTTTCATGCAATAGGGGTCGTCGGGCGTGGCCCAGTGGTCAATGTGTAGGGCTGCGGATAGGTTTAGGAATTCAGTACTTGAATGAATACGCTCCACATTTTTTGACTGTGGGCGCGTTATAAATATGACAACCAACCCTATTATTTGTTTCAAAGAAACAGAAAAAGCCTTTACGACGATGGATGCTACCAGTTAGCTACTTTCATCTGGTGAGTTGTTTAATATTATTGACAGGGGTCTCTGTCTTGGCCGTTTTCATAAGGTGTCATATAGGTTGAAAATCTAATTCCAGTTCATACCTCAATGTGGATTACCACAAACACGTACACATGACCCTCTGAATTTCCTCGATGTGGGACACAGCAGATATTTCCATACGACCCACTGAACGTATCTGTATGTGGAATACAGGAAACATTTTCGTGTAGCTTAGTGAAAGCATTTCTATGTAGAATAGAGGAGACATTTTCATATAGCTTAGTGAAAGCACTTCTATGTAGAATACAAGGAAACATTTTCATGTAGCTTAGTGAAAGCATTTCTATGTAGAATACAAGGAAACATTTTCATGTAGCTTAGTGAAAGCATTTCTGTGTAGAATACAAGGAAACATTTTCATGTAGCTTAGTGAAAGCATTTCTATGTAGAATAGAGGAGACATTTTCATGTAGCTTAGTGAAAGCACTTCTATGTAGAATACAAGGAAACATTTTCATGTAGCTTAGTGAAAGCATTTCTATGTAGAATAGAGGAGACATTTTCATGAAATTTAGTGAATATATATCAAGGTAGAGGTGACTTAGTGAAAGTGTCCGTATGCAGAATCCCAAAAGTACTTCCAACAATGTTTTATTTCTTTTGGATTCATTAAGCGGCTGATACATATCTATTAGTTTCTGGTTTAGTGGGGTAGTTAGCATAGTTTATCAGTGAAATAACTGTTTCCCTTTCAGTATGACACATATTTCAGGCTCAAACAAAGTTTGTTTTGAGTGTGTCATAAATATGCATAGTGCATAGTAACTGAACAAAGTAAACACTAATGCACACGTGGAAACTAAAACATGATTTTATTTAGGGTTATCAGCTGAAATTGACTCCACAATAAAATATTGTTGTTTAGGGTAGTTGCAAATAGAAAATAGCATTGTAACTAATTTAAATATTTAATTGAGTCAGTAACCTATAGCATATATATATATATATTTGTAAACCCGAGTAATAATGTAGTTATTTATTATAAAAAATAATTTGAAGCATGACATGACACAAAAGGGGAGGGGATACAAAAACCTTTATAGTGTCTTATCTAGTAAACTGTTAAAAGAAAATATAAATATGCATAGACGAATATTTGAAATAAATAGATTGAAAACAAGTATGTTAAAACAATTACCTTCAAAATCAATTTACATTTAAAATATCTTGGCTTAAAAATAGACTTAATGGAAAAAGTTTAAAAGTAAATTTATAAAAATATGATTAAAATAAATACGTTTAAAAATAAGATTAAAAATGAAAAAACTTAAAATATCCGGTTTGGAAGAAGTAGATTTGAAACAAATTAAAAATTTAGAATTAAAACAAAATTATACTTATTATTAGAAAATATTTTATAGTTTTGTAAGAATTATTTCAATTGAATTATTTATAACAAGAATATAATTTCAAAAAAAAATTGATAAATGTGTATGTATGTATATGAATTTATAAAATAAAATAAATATTTTGGTTATACAGGTATGTTGTTACACTACGCCCTCTATTGCCGAGAATGACAAAGAGAATGGCGATTATTGTTATTTTAGGGATTTGGTTAGGCGGTGGACTATTGTCTTTACCTACTTTGCTGTACTCCACAACAATAACATACACCTATCAGGATGGAACCATTAGGACGCTGTGCCTGCTTTTCTGGCCAGATGGCCCTGCAGGCGCTTCGGAATCAGATTATGCGTAAGTGTTTCAAAAATTCGTTTCAAAAGCTTCGGAATTGTGTGTAAATTAATTTCTGACTCATCAGTAGATTTTATTTTATGTATATTACACAAATGCCTCTCGCGATAACATAATCTACAAACAGACGAATTAAAATAATCAGAAGAAACTATGTGTTATAGTTTCAGAATCACGTGTGGAATAAAAGTTAACATATTGTGTGATATATAAAATTTAGTCATATACGAAAATACATTATAGTAATATTACAATAATCAAGATAGTTTGTTTTGAATTTCGCGCAAAGCTACACGAGGACTATCTGCGCTAGCCGTCCCTAATTTAGCAGTGTAAGACCAGAGAGAAGGCAGCTAGTCATCACCACCCACCGCCAACTCTTGGGCTACTCTTTTACCAACGAATAGTGGGATTGACCGTCACATTATAACGCCCCCACGGCTGAAAGGGTGAGCATGTTTGGTGTGATGGGGATTCGAACCCACGACCCTCAGATTGCCGGGCCAATCAAGATAGTAAATTCAATCGAAAAGTGAATCTGTTTTTTTTTTAACATGATAAAAGATGCTTCTTTTGCATAAGCTAACTGAATTAAAACGCCCCACAACGTTAAAGGTTTGTTTGTAATTAAGCACAACGCTACACAATGGGCTATCTGTGCTCTGCCCACCACGGGCAC